GAGCAACAAATTCCAAAAATGCAAAGACACAACAATGGAAACAAGGCATGAGAAAGGGAAGAGCAGCAAATTCCAGAAAGGGAAGAGCAGCAAATTCCAAAAATGCAAAGAGCCAAACAATGGAAACAAGGCATGAGAAAGGGAAGAGCAGCAAATTCCAAAAATGCAAAGAGCCAAACAATGGAAACAAGGCATGAGAAAGGGAAGAGCAGCAAATTCCAAAAATGCAAAGAGCCAAACAATGGAAACAAGGCATGAGAAAGGGAAAAGCAACAAATTCCAAAAATGCAAAGAGCCAAACAATGGAAACAAGGCATGAGAAAGGGAAGAGCAGCAAATTCCAAAAATGCAAAGAGCCAAACAACGGAACCAAGGCATGAGAAAAAGAAGAGCAACAAATTCCAAAAATGCAAAGAGCCAAACAATGGAAACAAGGCATGAGAAAGGGAAGAGCAACAAATTCCTAAAATGCAAAGAGCCAAACAATGGAAACAAGGCATGAGAAAGGGAAGAGCAACAAATTCCAGAAATGCAAAGAGCCAAACAATGGAAACAAGGCATGAGAAAGGGAAGATCAACAAATTCCAAAAATGCAAAGAGCCAAACAATGGAAACAAGGCATGAGCAGGGAAGCAGCAAATTCCAAAATGCAAAGAGCCAAAACAATGGAAACAAGGCATGAGAAAGGAGAGCAGCAAATTCCAAAAATGCAAAGAGCCAAACAATGGAAACAAGGCATGAGAAAGGGAAGAGCAGCAAATTCCAAAAAATGCAAAGAGCCAAACAATGGAAACAAGGCATGAGAAAGGGAAGAGCAGCAAACTCCAAATGCAAAGAGCCAAACAATGGAAACAAGGCATGAGAAAGGGAAGAGCAGCAAATTCCAAAAATGCAAAGAGCCAAAGCATGGAAACAAGGCAACAAGGCATGAGAAAGGGAAGAGCAGCAAATTCCAAAAATGCAAAGAGCCAAACAATGGAAACAAGGCATGAGAAAGGGAAGAGCAGCAAATTCCAAAAATGCAAAGAGCCAAACAATGGAAACAAATCATGAGAAAGGAGAGCAGCAAATTCCAAAAATGCAAAGAGCCAAACAATGGAAACAAGGCATGAGAAAGGGAAGAGCAGCAAATTCCAAAAAATGCAAAGAGCCAAACAATGGAAACAAGGCATGAGAAAGGGAAGAGCAGCAAACTCCAAATGCAAAGAGCCAAACAATGGAAACAAGGCATGAGAAAGGGAAGAGCAGCAAATTCCAAAAATGCAAAGAGCCAAAGCATGGAAACAAGGCAACAAGGCATGAGAAAGGGAAGAGCAGCAAATTCCAAAAATGCAAAGAGCCAAACAATGGAAACAAGGCATGAGAAAGGGAAGAGCAGCAAATTCCAAAAATGCAAAGAGCCAAACAATGGAAACAAATCATGAGAAAGGAGAGCAGCAAATTCCAAAAATGCAAAGAGCCAAACAATGGAAACAAGGCATGAGAAAGGGAAGAGCAGCAAATTCCAAAAAATGCAAAGAGCCAAACAATGGAAACAAGGCATGAGAAAGGGAAGAGCAGCAAACTCCAAATGCAAAGAGCCAAACAATGGAAACAAGGCATGAGAAAGGGAAGAGCAGCAAATTCCAAAAATGCAAAGAGCCAAAGCATGGAAACAAGGCAACAAGGCATGAGAAAGGGAAGAGCAGCAAATTCCAAAAATGCAAAGAGCCAAACAATGGAAACAAGGCATGAGAAAGGGAAGAGCAGCAAGTTCCAAAAATGCAAAGAGCCAAACAATGGAAACAAGGCATGAGAAAGGGAAGAGCAGCAAATTCCAAAAATGCAAAGAGCCAAACAATGGAAACAAGGCATGAGAAAGGGAAGAGCAGCAAATTCCAAAAATGCAAAGAGCCAAACAATGGAAACAAGGCCTGAGAAAGGAAGAGCAGCAAAATCCAAAAATGCAAAGAACCAGCAATGGAAACAGGCATGAGAAAGGAAGAGCAGCAAATCCAAAATGCCAAAGACCCAGCAAAAGGAAACAAGGCATGGAAACAAGGCATGAGAAAGGGAAGAGCAACAAATTCCAAAAATGCAAAGACCCATTCATGTCGGTTTGCACTTGCTTGCCGCATCTTGCATCTTGGCGCTTGCCGCTTGCCACTTTGGGGCCCAAGCCACCAGGTCCAACTGCGACTTCTTGTCCTCAGAATTCGTGGACATTGAATTTGTCATCAGGATTCCTCTCAACTTCAATTGTCCTCCTCTCCGGCAGGCTGCTTGCTCAAGCGATGTGCCCTCCACTGCCTTGGAACCCAAAGGTCCCCCGTCCCCAATCCACGCAGGGCGCGAACTCCAGCGACCAGTCCATCATGTCTCCAGCGTCCTGCGGAAAAAGCGAAAAAGATGAAAAAGATGAAAAAGCGGGGAAAACGAGCGACGTTTTCGTCAGCTTAAGATAGCCTAAGCCAAACCCGGTCTTTCGCCAGGGCATGGGACAGGAACTCGGCCAGCTCCCCCACCTCGCGAGGACACACATAATACACGCAAGAGTCCGCAAGAGGTGGAAAAAGAAGTCGCAAAAGATCCGAAGGCTGAGGCCGCGTGCTGTCACCGGCATTCCCATGGGCATTTTCTCCAAATCCTGACGCCATCTGACGCCCTGCGTCGCGTTGTGAATCTGTTCTTTGATATTCTTGGATTTTGTGACATGATTTTCGCATCTGCATCTGGGCTTTGCTCTTTGCTCGTTTCGCTAGGCCCCGGACTGATTGAAGGAGAGGATGCGTCCCCCAGCCATCATCGGGCGAAGTCCATCTGGCCGGATGCGACGGCGTTGGATCGAGTCGAGGTTGGGCCTTCTCACAGCGGGGGTCTTCTCGTCCGGCCTCTCGCTCTCCGTTCCAATTCCCGGACCTTCCCGGACCTTCCCGGACCTTCCCGGACCTTCCCGGACCTTCCCGGACCTTCCCGGACCTTCCCGGTCCTGCCCCTTTTGAAATCCCAACTTGAAACTCGAATCTGCGGCCCACGCTCTGGCCCATCCAGCTGTTGCGTCACGGCATCAATCTCACAAACCTGCAAGGTGACACCAAGCCACCGCAGAGAATCTCCGGAGGCAATATCCATGAAATTCCATGAATCGGCGCCCGTCGGGTCAAGCATCTGAAAACTGCGAACTTTGGGCCGTTCGGTGCGGCCCCAGGGCATGCCTCAGCCAACACATCCGTGGGGTAGGCGGCGGAGACCTGAGTTCGAGGGCTCGACCTGCAGATTGGTCGAGAAAGCAAGCCTGCAATCAGAAAACCTCCATTTTCAAATCTTCAAATCCGTAACTCGGATTTGAGTTCGTGCGCTGAAAGCCAATGAAGATTCACCTTGCCGCTCGAGCCGAGAGCCGAGCCGCCCCGGTGATCAGACCAGTCTCCTCCAAGCGCTCGCGGCCCTCCCGGCGCAGTAGGTCACTACCTTGGCCTCGAGTCGACCCGAGTCATGAGTCAACTCGAGTCCGAACTGAGCACAAAGTGAAAAAGCGAGAGGGAGCTCCATGGAGCTCCAAAGTACGTGGCATGGGATTCGGGAACCCCCTACGGATCCGCAAGCTGTGTGTCCCAGGGCACAGAGCAAAAACAACCGAGCTTACTTTGCAGGCCTCAGAGCAACTTCGCAGCCACCAGTTCCATTTTGAGGCCTGAACTCTCGGCCGGAGCGCCACCTGAACCGGCAAGATACAGGCAAGCAGACACGTCGAGAAGGGCCGTTGCCTCTGTGCGGGCTCTGTTGCTCACCTAGCTCGCAACGTGCGCAAGGGCAGCTTGCAGCCCGAAAAACACCAACAAAGCAGCTAAACTGCCCAAACTCGGCCCCCGGCTCAGCACTGTCAAGAGCACGCTCTTCACTGGCAGCTTTACATCCACTGCCTCAAGAAGCCAAGCCTGAAAAGAACCGCCAAGGTCTTCAAGATCTCTGACTGTGGAGATACCCAATCAAAACCTAAATAGTCGATGAGGGTGGGTACGGTCCATGCGAGCTCCAAGTCTCAGGCCAGCATCCGCGCCCTCTCGGGCAGTACGTCTGTCACATGCACCGCCTGGCGCTGAAGAACGGTCAATGTTCACATCCCGTTTCAGCCCGTTTCTGTTGATTTTGGTTGTCTCTTGATTTCTCTTGATTTGCCCCCCCCAACCCAAAGCTTGCATCGCGAGACTTTTCTGGCAAGACTTTTCTGGACGCCCAGAAGCTTGAGAAAGCATTCTAAGCATTCGGGCTGGAAGTGCGCGTATGGGAAACACTGGATCTCCAGATCCCACTGGTGCCGAAATCTTAAAACGGCACCGGCTTCCAGGCATTCGGATATGAATTCACGGCGCCATCGGATTCCGATGGGTCTGCCCTAAGCTCGAAATTCCGAAATCAAAATTCTGCGACCGGGCGGACCGGGCGAGCCCGCCCCTCTGGTGCCTCGAGTCCGGACTTCGCACATCCATCTGATCGGTCGATGATCCGACACTCATGACCAGCCGCAGAGAACCAAGACTCACCAAGAATAGTCGAGAAACGAGCAGCACCGGGCTCGTGCAACCGCAGTAGGATACGTAGGCCCGGAGCCGATGTCGGAGAGGAGGGGTCCATAGGGGTCCACTATGGTCCAGTCTCTTACAACACACGACACTGAGTGTGAGCGCTGCATGGTTAACTGTTCCGCGTCTCGACTTCTTAGCGTCTCATTTCCACGAAACAATTCGAATGTGGGAAGCATAATTCTGCAAAGCTAGCAAGCCACTTGCGCTTCAAACAAGTGACGGACGTGAAAGAAGAGGTGTGGAAGGTAATTTCAGTATTGCATGCCACCTCTCTTCTGCTCCCGGCAGCTGCCAGACAAAGCAAGTGACATGTGGTAGCTTCTCATATTGTTGGCTTATGAGGCAAGTTTCCTGAAGGCATTTTTGCACGTTTGCACACGTGCTCACCCGTAGACTGTCAGAGGCTACCAGAAAACACGGAAACTGTGTCCAGAATCACTGCAGAGAGAGTGCAGTTTGCAGGCACAAAGGCACCTGAGCGCGCTTTGCACACCGCACACACCTTCGTTACAAAGAAAAAAGAAAGCACTTGGACTGCTTAGAGTCTGAGCGGCTGCGTTCGAAGTGGAATCCGGAGTGGCAGAGGTCCTGCCGATTCTTGCGCTCCCAAAGGCAATCACTGTAAGGTATCAAGTAGTCAAGACACCAAAGACATCCAAAGACACTAATTGCCCAAACTGCAAAAAGTGTTTGCGGCACTGCAAAGGTGAAGTGCTTGAGTGCCGGGCCCCTCTTGCGCCGACGCAGCGTTGCGGGCGCATGCTCGCGCCTCGCACAATTGCTTTGAAAGACACGCACCAAGCAAAGTTGTGGCAAACACGGAGGATCAGGCATCAGTGCATCAGTGCATCACGCGTGACGCAGTGACTTTGCGTCTAATTTGCCTTTTGCAAGACTTCAACTTCTTGGAGGCACCAAACAAATTGGCACCACACCCTGATCAAAGAGAGGGGCGTAAATTATTTCTTGTGTCAAGCAGAGTTTGGCAGTGGCTTACCCCTCGCCAAGCGAAGGAATCTGAAATGGGAAAATACTGCTTGATTGGGGCTTTCTGCAGCAAAGCGAGAGACTAACCGCCCACCCGACGTATGTTGAGGCTGCTTGCAAATGATTTCTCTAAACCCAGTGGGCAACATTCTAGCAATAGGTTCGTCGATGAATGCCAAGGACTGTGGAATACTGTGGACAACACCAAGCAATCCTTGGCAGAAAGACAAATCTCCATTCGGTCAGGAAAGTGATGTTCATTCGGTCAGGAAAGTGAGGCTCGTTTTCCTCAACTTCGCCATGGATTGCTTTCTGCTGCTTTTGTCAGTATGTCTGCGCGTCGCTGTGCACTCCACAAGTTGTTCGAGACACCGTGCCTATGCCCTGCCTATGCTGGCTTTAGGCTCTCACAGACGTGCAAAGCAATTCCACTCCACAAACGCAGTCGATGCTCACAAGGCAAGTCTCTCCAAGCCACGACGCCTGGCGCCAGAAGCTCTTCCTGTGCCGCTTCCATTGCCGGCTTTCCGCCGGACCGCATATGTGACAAAACATACACCTCGGAAAAGGGGTGGCGTGCAATACATTCACGGCCAAACGTGTCCAAGCGGCTCATAGCCAAACCTGCATGATGAACGACATTTAAAGTCGCAGGGCTTGCATAGGCCAAGCGAGTGCCTGGCAATGAAATTCCAATGTGCGAAAGGCAAGTGAGATAACTGTGGTAGGGATGCGCTGCCGAGCCAATCGAGGGGCAATCATCGCGAGGAGCAGATTCCTGGCTCGAAACAGGCAAGTTCTCTCTCTCTCTCTCTCGCTCTCTCTCTCTGGCTCTCCCTCGAAGAAGCGGATGCACCTCCAACATGCTGTGCAATTGAAGTGTGCACGGGGTAGGCCCTTCGAAGGAATCCACAATCATTCCTTGAGGGGAAGCAGCCTCAGTGTGAGTCGAAAGCACAGCCCGAGTGTGCGGCGTCTCAGTGCCGCGCATCCTCTTGGAAGCATCGTGAAGTTGAGTCCGTATCCGTGGTGCTGCAGTCCGAGGGCCACATTTCGCAGTCCTTGCCCTGCGATTTCAAACTCGTCACAATCTTGCCTTCTCACTCTCCGTTCCTCGAACTCGCGTGGACCTGCTTCCTGGCAAGAGAGGGGGAGTCCAGTTGAAAAGTGATGACAGGTCCAAGCCTGTGCACGAAAGGTCTCAAGCCCGGGCGGCGGCCGCAGCAGCTCAGACACGGTCCCAAACCTCCCAAAAACTCAAACGCAGCTCCTTCCAATTCTCTTTTCCCCTTTCTCACTCCTCAAAGTCTGACTTCAATGACTCTTACCAAGACTTCCCCCTCTCTTCCCTCCCTCTCCTCCCCGTCCCTTCCCCCTCTCTCTTCCCCCTCTGTTTCCGCTCCCTTCCCCCTCTCTCTCCCCCAATCTTCCTTTCCATCCTTCAAGATACCCTTGCCATCCCGTTTCACCGCCTTGGCTCTCTGGGCCTCCTGTTGCCTTGCGGAATCATCTCTATCCTCAGCCGCTGTGGTGAAAAGTGTCCAACTCGATGCGAGCCACGGACAAGGCAAGCCCAGACCTGTTGGAGCCCCTTTTGAGCCCAAACTGCCACCAGATTCTGGTTCGTGACGATTCATGTACAGGCACCATGGAACTAAACCTTCGAAACATCTCAAGGCCCGGCCAGCGGCCCTTGAGACGGCAGCCATGGAGATATATGGGGCATGTGGCTAGCACTCGTGAGATGCTCTCACCTCATGCGCAAATGCCGTAAAACCCGGCTGGGGTGCCGCCAAGATCTGGCGAATAGCTGCGTGGGCCTTTTGAACCTGGACAAGGCGTCGGTGCGCAAGAGCTCAAAAAGCCCTCAACGAAGTTTAGCGACCTAAACTTCAAGGCCTCCTCATCAGTTGTACCTGGAGCTATCATGAGCGATTGCCAATGTCTAGTCTGCAGTGAAATCAAACAAACTCCGTCAAGCTGGTGAGAAGCGCACCCATGTCAGCTGGCAAGACTTGGCTGGGATGTCCATCCAAGTGCGCTTGAGGTGTTAGAACAGCTTTTAGATCCTATTAGATCCTATTAGATCCTGGCATCGGTTCTGGGCAGAGCTTGGTCCCTGGAACTGGCAGCTGCAAAGGTTCGAGGTGCTTTGAGGCGCTTTGAGGCGCTTTCTGCGCAACGAAAAAAGGCGATTGCAGATGCGTGTGGCACACCTCTTCCAAGTCAGCGAGGCTCGAATTTGAGACCCTAGGTGAGACTCAGTCGTGAAACGGCCCGAAAGCTACAAGGAGGTTCTATACAAAGACGTTGTAGACCTCTCCGCCACCACCAAATACCTGGCGAACCATTGAGTGACACGACAGGTGAGATGGGCATCGCCTTTGGTCAGGTGAGATACACAGACCCGTGATCTCTGGCCCCGGGATGCTGATGACCCCCTTGACCTGCAGGCCAGCCATGGACCGCGGGCCACCGGGGCCACCGGGGCCACCGGAAACCAATGGCGGGCAAGGGGGCAACACGAGCCTCCCCCTCGGGATTCAGCACCACCTGTCCGATTCGCCGAGGTCAGGTGAGGTCCTATCTTAAGGTAAGGGTCCGGCCACCCGACCAGTGTCTACGTTGTCTGCAAAGTCGAAGTGCGCCACGTAGAGGTCCCCTGCTGCGCTCACCTGCCAAGGCCGCGTGTGTCGGATCGACCGATCGATCGAATCGATCGTCTGCACTGCGTTTTGGGACTGCGCGGGGTCGAACTGTGGTCTGCGGTCTGCAGTCTGCAGGCACTCCCCAGTGGTCCAAGACCAATGCGTCTTTGACTCAACAGCCAGCGGCTGGGCTCATGCTGGCTCATGCCAGGCTGACGGACTCTGTGGGCACAGCCCCACAGCCTCAAACTGAGCAAAGCCATTTGCACAATTGCGTTCCGAGCCGGCCACCAACACGCTTAACGCGCGTGAAGCCGACAAAGCGAGGTGATGTACGCCTCACGGAATCTGAGCACTTGGCCCTTGTTGAGTGAAATCAAGCAACCACAATATCGTGTACGATGAACTGCACGGGCGAATCGGTTTAATCGTACTTACGTTCGTCGCTATGCCATTCTGCGGCTCGGCAAGGCCTGGTCACCTTAAACGATGAACTTTAAAATGTGAGCTCATGAAGAACACGTCTCGTCTCTTCCCGGCCAAGCTCTCCAACGCAGATGGAATCGACTGATCCTTGCACATGCTCCAGAAAAGCGCCCGCTCCGCGTATGTTCAGCTTGGAGAACTTGGCCACTCCAGAGTCGACAGATTCGATCCGAATCGCACGGCACGCCGACACCACACTCTCCGAATCCGTCGGCGAGTTCCGTGAGCTCTTTTCATCTTGCGCACGCGCTCGGCAAGCTGCTCCGAGTCCATCCGCGCACTGGACCTGCAACGATGGCGACTTGAACCTAAACAGCTTCCCAGCTTCCCAGCTTCGCGAGCATTGTGAAACATGCCCGGCAAGTCCACGTGAATAAAACCATGCAGGTTGGAGATGCACCAAGCCCGGTGTCGCTATGGGGCGCACTGCAAGAGCGGTTGGGCCGAAGCGACCGCTGAGCTGGCAAAAGACGCTGCAGTGGAAGACCTGCGGCCTCGCGTGACATCGACTTTCAGATGTCTTGAATGTCCAGGGACAAGTGAGCTTTTCAATTTGAAGCGGAGTCCACCAAGTCCACTTCTTTTCCGAGGGCCACACGGATGCTGAGTGAATCGAAGAATTCCTGGGCACCAAGTTCAGTTAAAATCATGTTTGTCTGTCACTCTTGCAAGCAAGCCGCGATTCATGGCTGTCTCTGCCACCTGAGGGAGGCTTGGTGGCTCTTGCAAGCCAAGTACTGCTTGGTATCTGGCATAGATGTTCTTCTCATCCGGCGACAGAGCAACTCCACAGGGATGTGCCAAAGTGTTGAGGCACAGCGGAATCAGCCTTGGCAGCTCCAAACTTGGAAAGTTGTTTGAAATGAAGTGGGCGCAGGGCAGCTGTGTGGAGGGGCTGATGGCAAAAACGGAGCCGCGAGGATTCTGCAGCGAGGTCTCTCCGAGCGGCCTACACTTGGCATCGCTCAGCCACCCATGAGGGCCAGAGCGCTGAGGCTGTGGCCCGCTGTCTGTGAAGTATAGCATCCCTGTCCTGCATCGAACTTTCATCGTTTTTGCGCCGCTTGAGTTGCTGACGTCTTCTTTGCTTCGCGCGTTTCTGCACCACGTATTCAATCTGGGAGCCCGGCTGCCGAGAGAGGCACAGGGAGTTGGGCCTGAACAAACAAAAAGCAAAGAAGTGTGGAGCAATGCAGGCAGGCGCACCCAAGGAATTGGGACTGCTCATACCTCACCACATGAAAATGACGAACATGAAGACAATGCCCAAAAGCTCAGCGGTGTCTATGAGTCTTGAGTAGAGGTAGGGCACTCTTTGACGTAGGGGTCAATCTGATGCGCGAAGGCGCCTTCCCTTTCCACCTGAACGTCTCAAATCTTCTAACCTTTCAGTCCATTCGGTCAGACTGCCAAACTGTCAGACCGTCAAAGACAGTCAGGCTGACCCTCTCACAGCCTCTCAGGCCCTTGCACGCAGGATCCGAAAGATGGCTTGGTGCGCTGCGTCGCACACAAACGCCACGCCCTCCGTTTGTCGAACTCAAATCTGACCGAGGGCCGAGCCGAATGAACGCCCGTGCACACCGGTTTCGGGGCTCGCGGGTTCGCCTGGTTGTCAAAGTCTATGCCCAGGGGCTGGCCCGAAGAGCTGCCCCAGGCTTCCATCTGGAACCTGCGACCATGTGCCCCGCATGTGCCCTGCATGTGCCGCCGGATTCGGAAACTAGAATGACGGATTCGGAAGCTGGGATTCGGAAGCTAATATCCGGAAACAGATGGCAGTCTGGATCTGCCACCCGACTTTCCAGTCGAGACTTCGCTGAGTGGCACGTGGATAGTGGCACGTGGATCTGAGTCTGGAGCTGCCAGCTCTGACTCTGAGCTGGCCAGTCCGAGCTGGAGCTGGCAGCTGCCAGGCTGGAGCAGCCAGTCCCGACTTTCCAGTCTGGAGCTGGCAGCTGCCAGACTGGACCTGGCAACTGGCAGTCTGGAGTTGCCAGTGTGACCTTTCCAGACTGACAGCTGCAAGCCTCAGCCGTAAACGCCGGAGTCGGAAACTAGAACGACGGATTCGGAAACTACTTTAAAGTCGGATTCGGAAACTAACATTCGGAAACTAAAAAAACGGATTCGGAAACTAAAGCGCCGGATTCGGAAACTGGGATTCGGAAGCTAATATCCGGAAACAGATGGCAGTCTGGATCTGCCAGTGACTTTCCAGTCGAGACTTCGCTGAGTGGCACGTGGATAGTGGCACGTGGATCTGAGTCTGGAGCTGCCAGCTCTGACTCTGAGCTGGCCAGTCCGAGCTGGAGCTGGCAGCTGCCAGGCTGGAGCAGCCAGTCCCGACTTTCCAGTTTGGAGCTGGCAGCTGCCAAACTGGACCTGGCAACTGGCAGTCGACCTTTCCAGACTGACAGCTGCAAGCCTCAGCCGTAAACGCCGGAGTCGGAAACTAGAACGGCGGATTCGGAAACTACTTAAAAGGATTCGGAAACTAACAGTCGGAAACTAAAAAGACGGATTCGGAAACTAAAGCGCTGATTCGGAAACTGGGATTCGGAAGCTCATATCCGGAAACAGATGGCAGTCTGGATCTGCCAGTCCCGACTTTCCAGTCGAGACTTCGCTGAGTGGCACGTGGATAGTGGCACGTGGGTCTGAGTCTGGAGCTGCCAGCTCTGGCTCTGAGCTGGCCAGTCCGAGCTGGAGCTGGCAGCTGCCAGGCTGGAGCAGCCAGTCCCGACTTTCCAGCCTGGAGCTGGCAGCTGCCAAACTGGACCTGGCAACTGGCAGTCTGGAGTTGCCAGTGTGACCTTTCCAGACTGACAGCTGCAAGCCTCAGCCGTAAACGCCGGAGTCGGAAACTAGAACGACGGATTCGGAAACTACTTTAAAGTCGGATTCGGAAACTAACATTCGGAAACTAAAAAGACGGATTCGGAAACTAAAGCGCCGGATTCGGAAACTGGGGTTCGGAAGCTAATATCCGGAAACAGATGGCAGTCTGGATCTGCCAGTCCCGACTTTCCAGTCGAGACTTCGCTGAGTGGCACGTGGATAGTGGCACGTGGATCTGAGTCTGGAGCTGCCAGCTCTGACTCTGAGCTGGCCAGTCCGAGCTGGAGCTGGCAGCTGCCAGGCTGGAGCAGCCAGTCCCGACTTTCCAGTCTGGAGCTGGCAGCTGCCAAACTGGACCTGGCAACTGGCAGTCTGGAGTTGCCAGTGTGACCTTTCCAGACTGACAGCTGCAAGCCTCAGCCGTAAACGCCGGAGTCGGAAACTAGAACGACGGATTCGGAAACTACTTAAAGAATCATCGCTTCTCAAGAACTATGTGCCTGCACACTCTCTTTTCCACTGGCTCTGAGCGTGGGTCCTTGGTGCCTTTGGAGTTTCGGACCCTTCAGGTACACACCAGAATACTCAATGCATTCCAGTGCCCTCAAGTACACGGCAGAATGCTCAATGCGTTCCAGACAGCAGAATGCTCAATGCATTCCAATGCCCCTCACCTCCCCTCCAGACACCTCTGTCAGGGTTGGCGGGGGGGTTTCAAAGAGAGAATGTGGGCAGCTCGAGCAATGTGGCTGATGCTGCCATGTCTTCATGATTCCAACTCAAGCAGACCCGTGGGTCCTTGGCGCCTTTGGAGTTTCGGACCCTTCAGGTACACAGCAGAATGCTGCATGCTATCAAGTACACAGCAGAATGCTCAATGCATTCCAGACAGCAGAATGCTCAATGCATTCCAATGCCCCAATGCTGAGATCCCCAATGCACCAAGTTTTCAGGACACTCCAAAAGAGAAGAGGAAAAGTGATGCCAAGGCAGGCAGGGGTAAGCACGGGTGTGCCAACATTGCTGGCATGTCCAGTCGTCAATCAAGCCACCTCTACTCAGCCCGTCACTTGGGTTGTCGTCCGATGGGACCCACTCTATCCACATGCGCACAGCAAACTTGGCCAGAAACAGATGGATAGCCGCAGTCAAAACGGCAATGTCAGCACACGAGCTGGCTCCCTTGGCCAGCGCTGAACAGACTGACTGATTGTCCACGAATAGAATCAAGTCTCTTCCTGCAAGGCTGGGCGCCAGGACAACTAAGGCTTGCAAAACGGCTAGGGCCTCTAGCGGGGCGATCTCTGTCTCCGGGGTTTCCAACACTGGAGCACTTCAGGCTGGACAGACGCAGCTCCCCCGTGCGGCTGTGGCAACTGATCAGTTAAGCAGACAAATCCCAGGCCTGGCGCTGGCATGTCCGCAGGCTCCCAGCTAGCGTCAGTGTAAAGCACAACAGGCTTTGCAACAGCAGGCCTCAAGTCTACTGCACGCGGCTCCACGACTTGGACAAGGCGCTGTAAAAAGCGCAAGGACAATTCAAGATCCGGAGAAATTTCACTGAAGTTATCCTTATATTGTCTCTGGAGCAAAGGCGACTGGCTGCCCCTGCCACACTTGCCAAACATGGCCGTAGCTGCCCACGTGAACTTGCCCCTGAGTTTCGCAGCTTCAGCAGAAGAGCAACGACCTTGCTGCAAAATCAGGCTTATGTCTTCTGCAAGGTTTTCCCGGGCACCAATTTTCAGATCAACTCGCAACACGCCCTCGTGCTGCACTGCATCCATTTTCAAGAGAACGCCCAAGAAGTGTCGCTGCGAAGCCATGGGCTGTTGCTTTTTTGGGTCCAAAATAAAACCAAGCCCGGAATACATTTCGTTGACAGCGGCTTGACCTGAGCCCCTGCTGCACTGAAAGTCCAACAACCCAGTGTCGTCGAAATAGTGCGTGCAGCACACGCCAACCACGCGCCGGCACAAGGCCGTGGCCAGAGCTGGCACTCTGTTGAAATTTAAGGCAGCTGCAGCAAGCCCATAAGGATGCGCTCTCAAAATCACATACCTGGTCTGGCCCAAGTCTGGGTCAAAGTACGCAACCACAAGTCCTGCCCCCTCTGCAGGCAGGTTAGGGATTTGACGATATGCTGATTGCATGTCCTCAGTGCCCGCTGCAAGCTGGGCCCAGGGTGGCAGGAAAGCATCGTCGGTGCGCATTGCGCGTACAAGTTCTCCTCAGACCAGCAAGCAGCGTTGTGTCCACTTGACCGTCCGTCATCGATCGGCCTCAACTTGCCGCAGTTCTGCTGATGCATAAATCTTCGCATCGCGCCCACTGTCCGCGCCCAAATTTGCGGTCAAGGTCAAGTTTTGTGAAGGGGCCCTCAGCTATACCTTGGGTCACTTCGTCAAGCGTGAGTTTCTTAAGCTCAGCTGCAAACTTGGAACCTGGCAAAGAAGACTCAAGCTTGGAGACCACTCGCAGGGCGTGGGATCCAAGCAAGGACTCAAGGCCAACAGGCTGGGTCGGCGGCTCCAAGCAGACGGAAGAGGCCCGGATTTTCCACGTAACCTAACAGCCGAAAACCTACCACAAACCGAAGCCCTAAGGATAGGTCTGGCCATCTGAGCAGGACCCCTGACACACACATGGCAGCTGGACAGCGGGCGCCAGCCACAGCTTCCGCGTTAGGACGCATAGCACCTCTCAGCACGTCTTCCCAAGGCTGCAGAGCCTTGCACACTGTAAGCTCGCAGCTGCAAGCGACGCCACACACGCAGACATGGCCCAAGCGCCGCCATTCCTCTCACGGCAAAATCAGCACCATCATCTAGAACTGCAGATGCATCAAAAGGGCTTGGGAGAGATGTGCTAAAACAGTGATGCAGGTCTTTGCCTACGCCTGCCGGGGACCAAAGCAGGCAACGCAAATTTAGAAGTGGGGCCGCCTCTCTGCGCTCCAAGCGCCTGGGCCGACTGCGCTTGCTGCTTCTGCTGCAACCACTGGGGGCTCTCATGGGTCAGTTCAGTGCCCGGTACAGCGTTGCTCCAGATGTGCATTGGGTGCCGTCGGATGCTCTGCTGGGGAAGCTTTACAGAGAGGTTCAACGAGGCTCGCCCACGGTGATCAGCGTGAGCAAGGTCAAGTCCTTGCACTGGGCGTCTGGGCCTTCGCAGGATCGCACAATCACCCTTGCAGGTCAAGTGAAGCTCCAACTTGACAAGGACGAGCCTGTGCCTGTGAAGTCCTTGGTGGATTACTACAAAGGCCTGCGAATCCTTGCCTATGGATACGCAATAGTGGGCTCTCACAAGGTCAAGTCCATGACGGCCCCAGGCTTTGCACCCCTTGGAGTAGTGCAAGGCTATGCCGACACCGTGCTCCGCATTGCCAGCAACTTGGAGTTGGGTTCTGGTGCCCTTTTGGACTTTGTGAGAGCTAGGGATGCAGCACACGGGCGTGCATGGTCGAGCTTTGTCGCCAAAGCTGGCCCCTTGGCGAAGCGCTCACAAAGGCGTTGGCTGAGCACGAGATGACATGGCTGGCGCCTTCGACGGCCAAACGCGTCCATGAAGGAGAGGTTCAAGGCTCTTGGCCAGACAAAAAGCTCAAGACTGGTAGCAGCTATGAAGGCAAACTTTTGCGCAAGCGGTTTAATGATAACCGTGGCTGCCAGAATGAGCACGATAAGTCTCACCGCTGCGACGCTCTGCGGCCTGATGGTAATGTGTGCGGCAGCAAGTCGCACAACAGACTTTCCTACATTTGCGGGCCAAATAGGGCGCAGGCCCCTCTCACTTTGTGAGTGAGTCAGGGGAAGGCCGAA